CTCTATTTACACTTCCACAACACACAGCTCTGTGACCACCAGGATCCTGTCAAGTATTAACTCCTTTCCTCTTCCTTGGACTCCACAAGACAAAGATACACACATGCATGTTCATATTGCAAATATTTCTGTGGTGCACTTAAGGGTCACGTTGACATGTGGTGAGATGACATGACAAGACTCTTTATCTTGCAAGTGACGTGATCAGAGTTTAAACTATCTCCTTTTAGTCCACAATTTGAGGCTGTTGGTCCCTGTTTTAAGTCCCACAACCACAGAAATACTTGGAGCATTATTGGAGTAGTACATCGGAAATTCAGTGTAGTCCAAGGTGTTTATTACAACAGCTGTCACAAAGCTTGAGTTTAATGACCTTCTTTTTAGCTAACATTATACATATCAGAATGTGTATTTTTTTTTCTAAATGAGAGCTTTTGAACAAGAAGGGCTGTGTTTGCCATTATAATATCACTGAAATACCTTCAGTATATCCAGAGCTCTCATGTAAACATATATTCTCATAGTACCACTTACCCTTAATAACATTTCCTCTCTTCATGAACCTGTATTTCTTATTTTGTCTTGTTGAATCAAAGATGCTCAAAGTGATTGCCACCTATATACAACAGAGCTGCTTCATACATTACTGAAACATGGTATCTTCTAAATCAAAGGTTCTCAAGAGGCTTTCTTAAAAGCCTGAAACAAGCTAAAAAACATGTATGGAATTGAAACTGCACAGATAAATATCCTCCTGAAACCAAGTATATTTTCTAAAATATTAACACATCTAAAAATAAGACTTGATTGGAAAAAAATATTCTGATTTTACCCAGAACAACTAAAAATTATTCTCCACAAGAAGTTAAATCTTTTTTATTATTATTATTTTTTTATTTAGCTTCGGAATGCACTTTTCTTTTATCTTATAATTTCCAGCTAGATTTTATTCGGTTTATTTCCTTCTCAGTTAGCATGAATGAAGAGCTGTGTTTACCAGGAACGGAACAGCTGCCATGACTGAATTATCAGGCTGTATTTATTTCCTGTTTGACTCTAAATATCTTTCTTCCATTGCTTTGAGCCAAGTGGCAGGTACTAATGGAGAAAATTCTGCAAGATTTGTCAGAATTATTTATAACACCTATTGAGTAAGTTTGAACTTCTTCCACAGAGCAGATCTGCTGAGGGGCTGGAACCGTGAGAGTTTCACTGGTTATTTTCAGCTGACAGTGAACCTCTGCTTCAGCTACCAAAATGTTAGATCTCTTTCATGGAAGCATTTAGTGCAGCTTACAATTATTCAGCACTAAAAGATGCAGCAGACCTAAAAAGGCCTTGTTAAACAAACTTATTAAGTGACATGGGGCCACAGATAGTAAAGCTCATAGGAAAGCAAGACATGCATGCCTGATGTCTGTGCTTTCCAGCTTTCCATCAGCTCAGAATCTTTTAAATGGGATATTGGCAGTCATTGCCCAACCTAATTTTTCATCATTTTGGAAGGTTATCCCTACTGCCTATCCCTGTTTCTAAGAAGACTGCTCTCAGAACTTCATAAATAAAACTTGTCATGGTGTTTCTCTGCCTTTTCTCCAATCCAGCTGCATATGGTTTTAGAAAGCACAAGTACGGAAATGAGTATACATAGTTATAAAAAATGCTCATAAAAATGGATGTAGTGTAGAGAAACATAGGAACAGGCAAAGGGAAAGTCAGAGGAACTGAAAAATATATTTCATCCTGTGCTAAAGGATATGAATTCTACCGTCATTTCCAGCTGATTGTTGCACTATACATAAAGATTCAATACGCCATCAGCTTACACATTTGCATGTACCTCTGTGTCCACATCACAACTTTGTAGCATGATACAAGCTTTCCAATAAACTAAAATGAAGGAAAAAATGGGTATCTTCTACTGCAAGAAATTGGAACTGCTCACTGAAAAAAACTCAGGCTTATAAAGAGAAAAGTGGTTTTCCCAGAATAATACCTGAGATGTAATTTTTAAGTAGCACGAATGGTTTTCCAGAGCTGTGGAAAAGACCAATCTCTTCCTTGATCCTTGGCTACATTATTGAACACAGTCTGTGAGATATATCATACTTGGATCTTTATTTACCTTAGTTTTGACTTTTCTTTTTTGCTTTTTTCATCTCTGTGCCTGTGAAGAATTGTAGAAGGTCCTTGTGCAATAGGTGAGGGACCATTGGCTGGACCATTTTATTATCCTGTTTAACAGGATATACAGCATAACAGAATGATGAGCAAAGAGCAATGAACTGTTTGTTGCTATTCCTTATCTGTCTGTAGAGATATTTAAGAGAGCCTTCCCCCAGCTGATATTGAAATATGCCTCCCAGAAAGGTGGGGAGAACATTGCAAACAGGATTCAGTTTTAGATGGCTGGTTGAAGCTTGGATACCTAAGAAGTGGGTCAGTAAATTCATTGGAAAAAATCCAGGGCTCAAGAATGGCTTAAAATATAAAGTCTGGGTATTTTCATGCGAGTTGTAGACACTCCAACTGAACAATAATTCATATGTAAGAAGCTTCATATCTAAGAAATAAGCAATTTGAACTTTGTAATGTATTACAGTGCATGTTCAGGCTCCACCGGAATGGGCCATTTTGCTTACGATCTAAACTATTATTTCTAATCTACTAATGACTTTGGTTAACTCAGTCCCAGACTCCCACAGAGGTAGTTCTGTGCAGGACAAAGAACCTGTATTCTTTGGTGGGAACAAGGACAAATGCAACCACACAAGCTAATTCAGCCTCCACTGGCATTTGACTCAATGATATACTGCTTTTGTTCCTTAAGCATTAGCTTCCCAGGAACTCAAGAGACCTTTGTGTGTTTATCTTTTTTAGTGCAGATTTAGACTACAGCATACTGGTCATGCTATTTAAAATGTGATTATCTTTGCAGCTTGCCATGGAAAAAAGGCTACTATGCAAGTACTAGTGGTGACTTTGTGTCTCTCTGCCACACAATAAACATCTTAATTTACAAATATATTTTAATGGGGAAGTATAAAGATTTTAAAAAACACCGTACATAATATTGTGCAACTAAGATGCAGAGGCTCAGTCTATATCTTTAGGATATGTTTAACACAAAGTTTAAAAAAATGCATCACATTGAGTCTGAAATTCATGGAGATTGCAATAGTCTGAGGAAGAGAGATTAACAGCAAAATCAAACACTACAAACCAAAATGAAGAATATGGATAAAAATTAAAGGATAAAGTTGGAAATGAGGTTTCATTAGTTTCATTTTTAACTATTCCTTATAGCATAAGAAAACTTTACTTACGTCTACATACATATACTTCAGAAATTTAGCTATAGGTAAGGAATGACACCAAAATATGGCAGGTTTACAAACTCTGAGGTTGCATTGGAGGATGCAAGTATTCAATAAATAATGTCTCAGATCTCCTTTCTGACAGTACAATGAAAATTCAGAATACTCTACAAAATATTGGGTGCACTAAATCAGTATGATTCAACATTGTTGTGCAACAACCTAAGAAAGAGCAAAAGCTTTATTGATATCCTGAAGTAGAATTTTTGAAAATTAACCGTCACCATTATGAGATCATGATGCCCCTAGGATTAAGAAAATAACCTGAGGACTATGAAATTCTTGCACATTGCTATAAAATTATATATGTTTATTTTTATTTGGGCAGTTTAATGATCGTGCTCTCAAGTCCTATGAGGGCAATTAGCTTATTTAAAGACTTGCTTAGAGCAAAAATAAAGTACCTGTTGCTGCCAGAGCCTATGTATTTTCAGTTGCTCCAGTTTTCTCTGTGCATGAAATGTCTGTTGTCTTGATGCTCCCACATGGAGCCAGGAAGACTGGATTCCTCATTGCACTGATACTATTCATTTCCACAGCAGCCGCCTCAGTTTAGAAACCAAGTATTTACTTGGTTTCTAAATTAACTTTCCATGTCCTGGTGCTACTACTCAGAAAGAGCTATGAATACCATACCCATTTAATCCCACTGTTTGGGAGGTGTATGAAGGTATAATCAGTGGCTTATGTCCTTCTCCCCTATGCAGCTTTGACACAGGTCCCATGGCTACGAATGCAAAATACATGCTCTAGCCACTAGTGGTGTCCCAAAATACAGGGGAAAGAGGATTGTGATCTTCCAAAGCTCCCTGAGCATGAGATGTGCAGAGAAGTGATTGAGAGCAGCCGTGAGAAGGACTTGGGGGTGATGTTTGATGAACTGGACATGCATGGACTCTAAGAGCAGGACACCAGTATAAGTGATCCTGCCATCAAAATTGGACCACTGGCACTAACTTCATTTACTATTGTTTGCATTCTTCTGTTTTCAAACAGGTAGGCTTTCTAGTGCCCAATAGTAGATGCTCCAAACTCTGGACTGGCAAGGTTTAGTGTGTGAATTACATGAGTCAAAGGAAAAGAAACAGGAAAAAAATAAAGCAGTACTTCAAGCACAGTATCAACTATGCAGATTTGCAAGGGGAGAAACACACACACAAGACGGAAAGAGAGAGAGTGTTAGGTCCATGAAACAATTCTTAAATATAGTATGGAACTGAGCTATACGCTGCACGCTCCAACAGTATCGAAGAAGTTTTGGCAGATGTCTTTACAAGACTGTTCTGCTTAGAAAAAAGAGGCCAGCATACAGAAAGAAAACCTGTAAGTTAGCTAGTTAACTTCAATGTAGTACATATCTTAAAATTTTTCATGAAGCCAAATACTTAGAACTTCTAATTTAACTGGAGTCAAGCCACATTATAGATGATTGCCAGTAATACTGCCAGTAAAAATAATCATAAACAAAGCATCAAATATTATAAAATAAATCACAGCTTTTCATGAATTTATGTATTTACCAACCAGATTGTAAAATTCTGACTCATTTCTGTGAGCATTTCTCTCCAGTCAACAGTTGCATCTGACCTTTGGAATCTTACTTGCTTTAAACTTGTCACTTACCTGGTTTCATCAATATAAACTGCCTCCAGCACAGATGCTGCATATTCAATATTCTTTTTTAAATCCACCACATTGATGTCACCCTTCTCCAGCTGCTTTACCAAGCATCTTAATCTGTGGAAAAAAAAATAAATCATGTGATACTTCTATCAAATTTGAGTGACTGCATTTTCTATTTGAAATCCTGGAACCAACACAATGTGGAGGTAAGAGAACATCACTGAATCTCTTGTCTTGTTTTAAGAAAACCTGGTTTTAGAATGCACATAACAATGACTGGTTACATGCTTTATAGATTGCTAAACTTGTAAGACCTGCTAAGAAAAGGCATACACATTCCAGAAAATCAGAGGACTCATTAACCACCATCAGAACAATTTCCTATTCATTTGTGACATTACTGTTATGCTTGAGTCTCTAAATTTTTTAAAACTAAAAATAAAACTTTGCATGTTGTCTTTCTATAATTTTTCTGTGCTTAGTTGTTTAACTATGTTTTTTTCGTTTCTACTGTGTACTGATTTTGCTTCATTTAAATGCCTAATTCTTATTTAGGCCTCTAGTGCATTTTTGATGCAGAATTTGTATTCTTATTAGTGGGAGTTAATGTGGAGGTCTATTGTTTCTGTGTTGACAGAAAATTCATCATTACGCCAGACAAGAGGCAGTGCCTATGGCATTAGAAAAAACCAGTTATTCCCCAGTGTGCTTTTACTTTTAGTTTTGAGAACTTTCTTTGATAGTACAAATATGGATATGCCTAAAGAGGATTTTGTAATGCCTCTCAGGCATTACAGGCACTACAGAGGCATCAGGCCTCTGTAGCAATACACTCATACACATAAACTCAAATTTTTCCTAAACTTTCCAATGACAAGAACACTTCTGACACTACTCAATTTAACCATACAAAGTAGTCAAAGCATTGGAGTGAAATGAAAACTTAGTCAATAACTGCAGAGCTGTGACTAAATGGATGCTTAAAGTATGCATATTTACCTTCTCTCTGTGCTGCATCTCTGAGTAGAAATAATCTACAGTTTTGTATCATGCAAGATAAAGATTTCTGGAAGTACACATCATTATTTTAACATAACTGTCATTAAATAATCTTTTTTATGTGCATGAAAAAATGTGAAACAAGCATTTAGTTAAAAAGTGCATTGAAACTGAGCATTAAGCTGATTATGTTCAGAAAAAATCATATTTACAATGTGAAAGAGCACATATAAAATATGCAATATGCTCCATAATAATAAGTTACATATATTACACTATTTTTATTGGACATATACAATATTTGATTGGACCTAATTAAAATACATGAATTACAAAAATGCAGTGATATATAAAACATTTAATAGACTTGGAAAATACTGTTGTGCCATAAAACCACTTTCAGGCTTTTCTTCACATTTATTTGCCCTAAGCACAATTATGTTCAAGCCTGCAAGGATGATTTTAGAAATGGAGTTTTAAGACCAGCCTCCTCAGTTCTCTAAAGCCTTAATTCAATTCAAATTAGCACGGAACATAAAACAAATCAGGCTCTTAGCAACCATATTTACTTTGTATTTTACACAGTGCATTTCATATCAATGGGATGGAAAATGTAGTGTTAAAAAATTTTCTCAGAGAAATGAAGTGGGTGGATGAAATGCTCTGGGAGCAAAGTCCTACATAGAAATAACCTTATGCATGGGAGACAGTTCCAGTACATAATGTCTTCCACTTCAGTGGTACCTATAGACTGAAGAAGCTTATTCATAGACACTCATCTCGCAGTACCCAGCACACACATTGCAACTCTTCTGGGATGTCTGCTCTTCAGTAGTACACACAAACACACAGACAGCCCCTCCTGCACACCAACAGCAAAATGACCACTTGAGTCTGGCAGCATCATTGCCACTAATGGCAAATAGTCATAGGGTGGTTCTACCACTCACACTGTTCCCTCCATGTTTGACTGAGCACATCTCCAAATTGCACTTCCTAAAGTGGAAGCATAAATAAATTTGAAAACTTGCTTTCAAATACACAAAAATGTACAAAAATAAAATTTTAACACTTCACAGCAGGGATCCAGGCTCTGGTAGAACAATATTAGCTCAAAATGGCTTAAAATCCTACAATTTCCAGTTGTTCCACATTTTCTCAGGGCATAGACCAGATGACAGGTATTTGGAGTAATTTTTATGACTGCAGGAGGAAAGGAGTCCTTGAGGGAATCTTTAAGTGACAGTGACCTTGTAATATCTCCCTGCATAGGTGAGAATCAACTGATGTAACTTGCCCTGTAGGTATAGTTCATATTCTAGGAGGAATGCAGAAAACAATAATAGACTGGGCAATCTGTAAAAGCTCAAGTCATCCTGAAGACGTTACAGAATCATAAAAGGACGAAAACTGTATCACCAGTGAACTTCGCATCTCAGGCATCCACTCTCTTTGTGCAGATGTCCTCAAGAGTCCTTATCTAATCCAGTACAGATCTATCATAGAACCATGGGATAATTTTGGTTAGAAGGGACCTCCACCTGATACAAACTCTTGCTCAAAACAAGGGCAACCTCAATGTTAGTTATAAGTTCAAAGGTAGACAGAATTACTCAGGCACTTCTGCTCAAGCTTTGTATGCATGGAGATTTCAAAAACTCTTTGGACAAGCAGTTGCAATGGTGAATCAGCCTCACAGTGCATTATTTTTGCCCCATACCTAACCAGAATGTCCTTTGTGGCCAGTTGTGCCCCCAATCTTTGCTGTGCACTTCCAAGAGAAAACTGTACAACTTCTCACTAGGAAACTGGGCACAGCAATAAAACCTTTCCACAGTGTCACTGATCAAATACTTGTCAGTTGATAATAATGAGGCCTACCACAGAAATTAGAAAAATGAACTTCCAACACAGCAAAATTAAGTGGGTTATAACAGTACAAGAACGATCTGAATATACTCAACATTTATGCATTAAAGTGAAAGAGCCACAGAGTTTAGGAGCTTACACTTCACTAATGAAACCAATACTTTAGCAAAGAATAAATACATCAATTTATAAGACAAATCAACAAGTATTTAAATACTTATAGCCCAGCACTCCACAAGATAAAGAAACTTGAAAAGAGGACAAGAAAAAGTAACAAAACAGAACTATTGCTGCAGAGGTATTGGGCAGGATTTTTATTTGTTTGTTTGTTTTGTTTTAATTGTGACAAATTGAAAACAAATATTAGAAATACTATTAAAAAACCTGAAATGACACTTTCAATTGTAACAAATTGTACTGCTCTGTGAAATGTGCTACTAAGAAATAATAGACAGCCACAAGAAAAACTGCAGCAGCTATTTTGTGAAAGAGAAGTATGGACTGTTTGATCTGTTTTAAAGTGCAAAGCAAAATGTATGCAGAATTAATGTGATAAAACATGACAAAAAAACAAATTCACATAGTAAACAGTAGTATTATTTCTCTTGGGACACCTGCAAACTGCATTTTTAAACTAGTAGCCCCAGTTTGTAAGGGAGAAAGATACATCTGCAATTAATAAAGGGAGTAGGTGGAGAACCATCTTCTGTCATCTTAGGTAAACATTGTTAACAGTACTGTGGTGTTAAATGTTTTTAGGGACAATCCAAATGTGCTCTGCTCCTACCTCTCTTTACCAGTGCCATCTGTGAGGTTCCCAGGACCTATTTTCCCCTGGTCCTCACCTGTCTATGCACCTGATGCCAATGTTCAGCTGAGGGCAAGAAGCTTGGAGACCCACTCAGAAACACAGGAAAACCAGAGGAAGCAGAATTCTTACTAGGAGATGAAGTAGCATACTCTTGATTAACAGTATCAAAATCACAACTCAATTGTTCCCATCTCCCCTATTAAAATTCTCCCGTGTGTGAATTGAAGTTCTGATAGATCTACCATAATTTTCTGGGGTTGTACCAAATTAACTGAGGATAGATTTTATGATTTTATATTATTGGAGATAACTTCCTATGACAGTTTCAGTAATAGAAAAAATTTTAAAAATTACTTTTTGCAGTGTCCTCATGAGAAAATGTTGGGCTTTTTTATATAGAACCAAGCAAAGTTCATTGAAAGAAATATGTTTGGAAATACCAAACAATTGTCCTGAACACAACCTAAAATCATAACAAAGGTGCAGGGATGGGATTACCTAAGTAGGGAGATTGTAATGTAGAAAGGCAGATTAGTTGGACAATCTCAATTTCAGATTATATTTAAAGACTGTCTCTTCCATTTCCAAGGGAAAATAAATTACTTGTGATCGCTGAGAATAAGTGTGAATTAAAGGTTCAGTTTAAGAGTCTTCAAGAACCAGAAGAGTAAAATTCACCCTGAATTTAACTGAGGATCTGAGAAAAAAAGACCCTCTGTCTGCTTTCCCAAAACAGTCTCGATTTGCTATGTGAGTCTCCCCAACACTGAACACTGCAAAGAAACAGCTTCCTGACTTACACATCTGGACTTCACTTGAAACTGTTTTGGAAACTCTGTCCAAAAATCCCCAAAAAACATGGATTTTGCTACAAGTCCTATTAAAGGGGAAGTGGAATAAACTGTAAAAAGTAAACTCTAAACTAACCCTGCTTCCTACTATGTTTTGAAATTAGTGAACACACAGCTAAGTCTTTGAAAATAATAAACACATGCTAATGCTTATTATCAAGAAATAGTTATATTTATATTCAGCAATCACAATGTCAGTTAAAAAAAATTATCTGTGTTGGTTAAGTCCAACTTGTAAATCATTATGTTCCCATGAAGTAGTTGAGAAAAGCCTAGCTGTGACAGTCATGAGAATGTGTTAACAAGTTTAAGGACAGAAAAAATATATTATTTTCTGTAAACAAGTGTTTCATGTTCTGTTTGGACTATTTAATATTGAATAATAAAATTAAGTGGATAATTGTAGACTTTATTAGAAAAGTGATTTGACCCACTAAATGAATATTACATAGTAAAAATGAGCTGATACATAATGTGAATTAAAATTAAAGACGAGAGTAATCATATTCTGACAATATGGTTAGTTACAAATCTTTGGGGAAGGGGGGAATTTTCCTTAACACTATTTAGAATTAAAACTGGAA